ACCGTGTGGGCTGCTCCATCTCTACCAAACAGGCCCCAAGYCAGGAGAGTCACCTCCTGTCACCCCTTCTGGGGGTGTCTTGGCAGCAGCTGAACCCCCAAACAGGAGCTACTGCCCTTTCCCGCTCCCACCCGAGCGCATCTCAGCCTCACGTCTCCGGCCTAAGGACCAGATCCATAAGCCAGTGCTTTCCTCACGGTGCTGCAGACTCCTGCAGCCTCTGACCAGCAGAGATTTTTATCTGCTGCATAATTCCATGCAATTTACTRTTTTTTCCCCTTCCAAATCCCTTAAGAAACTCTTAATTGCTRAAATGCCCTTTATCTCTCAAAGCTAAGGCATCACTATCTTCTACTTTGCTTCAAATATGCAACTTTATTTCCCTGCAGAAAAAACATGTATCAGTTCTCTGCTATTAATGCAGGAGTCCTTGAAGAGTATTTTGATTTCAACTTGTTCTTTAGGGGAATCAGCAATTCTTTATAAATCACTTCGCTTCAAAATAGGTTTGAGCTTCACGTCCATATAGCTTCATAGTCCATAACCATCAGCTTCAGGAAGAATCTAAATGCAATTTTCACTATGAGCTCAGGAAATTCAAGGCTTTTGCACCTAGTACTTGCTGTATGTTGGGCAATAAATACCTAGTTAAGGCAGTAATAAGGTAAAAAGGCATTATCGTTTGTACTATATCACCTTCCCACTAGACTTAAATGTTCTTGCCTTTTTCCTATTCWATTGCTCCCATCTTTTAAGGCATTTGCAGAATTACAAGGTGACAATTTAGGTATTTTAATGTGTACAAAGTAATGCAAAAACATGGTTTTCCAGTAGGAAGTTGCTTTTCAGTTGGTACCCTGAGCTATTTGATGAAGCTTTTTGTTCCCCTCTCCCCTCTCTTTTTTTTAAATCATTTTCAATACGCATTTTTCAGCTGCTGCTTTGGTCCTTAGCTCTCAGGACGAGCTGCTCAGGATTCACTGCTGCTCAAGGGCACTCAAAGTGCAGAGAAAGGTGCCCTCAAAGCCATTTACTGGTGGAAAGCAGCAGCTTTGCTCACAAAAGAGGGGCAGATACCCACAGCTCCCCCGTGGGCTTGGGCATCCGGAGCTGCAGAGATGTCAGTTCAGGCACCGCTGCTGTTTTCCAAGCTTCTTGTGAGCTGCAAGTCGCAGGGAGTCCTGAGGGGCCCTCGGGGCAGGGACGGGCCACAAGAGCCRTGTCTGATGGTGCCTCACCCGCTGCTGCTGAGGGCTCGTACCAGAGCTGGGAGCTGGATTCAGGAGGGAGGATCTGAGCTCCCGCCACAAGCACCCAGCTACAGGCACCTCCACCTGGAACAACAGGACTTGAACCCCCGGCACGGAGCTGGGAGCAGCACAAGGTGCCTGGCACAAAGCCGGGGAAACGGCCCATCCTTCCGAGGTCCCTGCCCAGCCGGACACGTCACAGAGAAGCCCCAGGTTGGYGCCAGCCCCAGGGCATGCTCCTCATCCCAACCCTTCTGTCGGCAGCATCAGTCACAGGCAGGAAGCACAGGCGCCTCCGAACGGGATGTGTCCAAGCAGCCTGTGCACCTGGAGCAATTATCATAGGCCAAGTCCAACATGGGACAGTGCATGGAAACTCCAGGAGCAAGGATCCCCATGTCTCCCTCCTCCCATTCCACATCTTCACTGACCTTACACATCATGGAATTCAATACTTTGTTCAKATTCCACATAGAATCATAGGATCCTTAAGGCTAGAAGGGACCTCTGRGGATCATCCAGTCCAAACCCCTGCACACACAGGGTCACCCAGAGCACGGGGCACCCGGGCGCATCCAGGCGCCTTGGGAAGATCTGCAGAGCAGGAGCCTCCSCAGCCTCTCTGGGCAGCCTGGGCCTGGAGTCCCAGGCAAAGTTCTTGATCCCTGGAGTCCCAGGCAAAGTTCTGCAGGGCCTAAAAGTCCTGCTGAGAAACCTGCTCTTACCTTAATCCTCTTCTGGGAAGCAGGAACCAGTCACATCAGCAGGCAAAACCAACTGCTTCACTTGCTTTCTTGCAAGAAATCTTTGGGATTGCTGCAGGGGTTAAAGGAATGCTTAAGAACAAAATATTTACTCTCCCAAAGAGAGTCCTCTTGATATCGATGAAAACAAGATTTGCCAAGACTCAGTAACTGTTTAGAAAGGTAATTAGTGCTTTTTGATTTCCAGAAYCAGGCTGAAAGCAGACAAGTGCTCCTCACAGGATTCACTTATCTTTGTGGATATCAGCAGAAACCCAAAAATCAATGCCAGAGGAACTAAATGCTATTYAAGGTAGAAACTGTCCTTTATACCGCAAAGTCAGGGGTAATTAATCCCTTCCCAGTCACTGGATCCAGGACAGAGTGAACAGCATCTTCCAGACACAGCCCAGCAGGAACCTCTATTAATAACCACCAGCCTCGCGCTGCTGCAAGTCCTGCTCTCTGGATTTACACTTACTTAAGGGTTCCCCAAAACATCCTTTCCCAGCTTATTCCTGTCATAATCACAGCCTTTATCCCCTGTGAAAGAAGCTATTTTAATAAAACTCGCTTGAAACTCTCCTGTTCGATTAGTCCATTTCAACAATATCAAAACTTCTCTGCAGTGCTGGAAAATCTCATCCACCGCCTCCTCTCCGGGCTTGTTTTCACCCCCCTATTCTCTAAATATTTTTCAAGCTTAGTGTTTAACTGTGTTCAGGAATTTCTCCCACATCAGGAATGACCGCCAAGTTTCCAGAAAGCTCTTTACATCCAGGTGCCAGATGTCTATTGCTACATCCTCACCTGGAAGCGGAAAGATCCAGGTTGGAAGGGATACATGGGGATCCCTAATCCGGTCTCCTGCTCAAAGCTTTAAGTTTGCAGAGAGTCTCCAAGGATGGGCAGTCCATAACATCCGGCTCCTGTCCCAGAACTTGGCCACCCTCGTGATTTCTTCCTACCAATCAGGAATATCACAAGGGCAGAGTCCTTTTTAAACTGTCCTCTCTTTCTGGCATGAACTTCTCTCTCCATTCTCATCACTGTTTTGAAGTTTGACCTAAGCCCACTTTTTATCGCAGCCTTCTCTAATGACTTTGTCATTAACAGCTTCCTGTCCTTGATTTTCCTATTTCCAAGTACTTCCCAAGGCAGCTTCTCATTGTCTTTGCCATTCCCCACGCAGCTTCTTGCTCTGCTCAAGCTCCTGCTGTCCTACCTCCCACTTTGGGCCACTCATTTAATCCTCTCTCATTTCCTTCCACTGCAAGTGTTATTCCATTTTCACACTTACATCCTTAAGATCTTTAAAGACCTTGTTAGCTTTCACCAAAAAAAAATAAAAAGTACCATCCTTGGAAAATATAGCAGTAAATGCACTGAAGTTTAACAAAGCAGCATTATATTCTTGCTCCAAAGCATCTGGTTTTGTTGATGGAAGTTTCAGTTCCACTCTTGGGAATGAGGATTCCTACTGCTAAAATCATTAACTCAGTTATTTGACAATTCCTATMATCAACTAACTGCATTTCAGGGTGGGAATATGCCACCTTCCCTGTCATGCCTGGAGTAAAGACACCCATAAGGACTTCCAAGGATCTCGAGCCTCCAGCCTACCCCGCACACCTTGCCTAAAGGGACTTTTGTTCAGGCTTTACCTCTTGGTTAAACATCCCAGGGTTAACTGTTCTCTTCTTGTAGTCAGCCGATGGGATAGCTCCCTTGCACTAAGCTTACGACTAAACATAAGGGAAGTCTTAAAACTAGGTGTATTTTACATGGCACGTAAGCAGGTATTACCCTGGCTTGCTCCTTTAAGTCATGTCTCAGCACTTTTGTTACTTACCAAGTACCAACCTTCTGCCAAATGAGCCTCCGACTCCCCTTTCGCTGTCACCCGCTGCCTGGTGACTGCAGCGCCGACCTTGGTGCAGCTTCATCCCTTGGTGCAGCTTCATCCGCTCAGCGGGAGACAGAGGGAGCAGCCAGAGGGGCCTCCAACTGCTTCAGCCCCAACATCTCCCTCACGGCCCCCCAGCTCACGCGGTAGCTTCATCTCAGACCCCTGCYCAGCACCAGCTGCTCCCCCAGGGCTCCGTGAAGGAAGCTGGATGTTCAAGCTCACCAGATGACATCAAGGTGTTTTTTCAACACATAACTCTGCCTTACTGTGCTCCCGTTATAAATGTGTGCATACATACAACGTACACAAAAAATAACATTACATATGAGCCTTGATTTACTTCCACATTCACAGAAGAGGCAATTCCAACTGCCCAGCACATTACACACTAGAACTCCGGGACCTGCACTGTCCGAATGCTGCTCCTGGCTCAGGAGCAGCCTTCTCTCTGTACTTGATATAAAGCCTAACATTTTCCACAGCTTCCCAAACCCTCATTAGCTCTTTTAGCACAAAAAGGGCAATTAAACACRAAGCTTAAGGTACCACCCTGCAAGTCAAAAGGACCATTAAAATGAGCACCCTTTTTAAGGCAGGCAGAGCCAACCCACTTCTAAGCAAAACTGGCAGCTGCCCCCAGGAGCACTGGCTTCCCCAGACCACCTGCCATTCACTTGGTGCTTTTAAGCAGGTCTTACAGGCCTGGCTGCTGCCCTGAGCAGGGACAGGACCTCCCAATACTATCAACATCATGTATGACTAACTTCGGGAATCATGAGCTTTGAGGCACTCATGGCTTAGGACTCAGGAGCACCCTCTGCAGCTGAAGTTATAGGGAGTAGAAAAGGAAGGACTTCCCACCACATCTAAGAACAGAAACACATGACATGAACTTCACCCAGGGTTACATGACATACCTAGCAGCCAGGAAAGATGTAGCTATTGGAGCTTTTCTATCATATCAGCACTCATTAGATTACTAGGTTGTTTGTAGCAATGTTGGGAACACCAGAGAAGCTCCTACCCTTCAGAGGGGCTGGGAGAGGGAAGCTGACAGTTGTCACAGAAGGGAAATGCAGACACAGCCAAAGGACATAGAAACCATTTATTGTGCATCACGGTGCCACGAGGCTGCGGGTTCCTTGACGCAGCGCAGCAGGAGCCCCCAGCACCGGGCTCATCCTCCCGGCACTCAGTCCAGCTGGAAAAGAAGAAGGCAGGACAGGAAGCTCGTGAGGCGAGAGCAGGGCGAAGCCCCCTCGGCCCTCGCGGCGCCCCCGCGGCACTACCTTGATGAAGCCGATGTCCTTCGCGTACTGCCGGAAGCACTGCCGGCACATGTTCAGCCCGTACTTGCGGATGAGGCCGTGCCGGTTGGAGCACACGCGGCTGCGGGGAAGAAGGCAGCGAGAGCGCGTCAGGGCCGCTAATGGCCGACAGAGCGCGACGGAAAAGGGGTGGGGAAAGCTCGCTTCACGCCCGTGCTCGCCGCGCCCGCCCCCTCCAAAAGCGGCGAAGGAGGCCCAAGGGCTGCTCCCTACGACCACGCACTGACCAGGAGCGCGATCCCTGCCCGAACTTCCTGGGGTGGCTCCAGTAGAGCTGCTGGTGCCCCATGTTGCTGCCGCCGCCTCAGCCGCCAAAGGAAGATGGCGGCCCGCGCGCGCGCTAAAGAAGCCCTCCCTGCCTCCCGGCATGCACCGCGGCGGTCC